ATGAGATTTTAGCCAAAATTTCAATAACTTAATTACCTACAATATTGATGAAGGAAATAAATTCAAATACCCTATAGAATAGATGCAGTTTTCAGTGGTTATTTCCAACTGGGCTCAATTACAATAACACTCTGAACATGCCTTGGTAATTTGACTATAACTCATGCTACACATAAGCTATTGACATGAAATAAATTTATAAATTTCGGGGATATAATTTCATACAACTTTTATGAAGGAATTAAGTCCTAATTTCACACGTATCAATCTCAGTAATTCAAAAACCTAGACTGTTGAAACAGGGCTACCTCTTAACGTCATAACTAGAATACTTGACAGTAAAATGAGTATAACTTGAGCTATAAATATCCGTTTAATGTGAAATCAGTTTCTTAATTTCGACAACTTAAAGAGCTACAACTTTCATGAAGATACTAATTTCTAATTCTGTTCACACAAGTACCAGATTGTCCCGTTAAAATCAAGTTTGAAGGTAATGAAAGTTTTGAGAGAAAGAGAGAAGAAAAACGCATTTCTGATGCGCCCAACGGATTACATCCTACAAAAAAATTTATTTTTACTTTCTCCTTTTTACTCTATCCAGGATTTGAACTCACAACCCCTAAGACTCCAACATCACTCCAAACCATATCAACCATCATATGTTTCTTATTAATTTATACACATAATAAACTTTTAATGTACCCACAGTCAATGCATAAAAAAAACAATAATTTCTAAATGTGACAATTAAAATTGTTAAGTCCATATTCAACATTCAGGCACACACACGAGTATTTTCTAAAAATTCTCGAAAATCATAAATAATCTAATAAACATAAAACTTTACAGCTTACTTTACCCAATTCCTAATAATTTAATTATTAAAATTTTGACAAAGATTTTGTCAAAATTTAACAAACCAGGGGTATTGTCGGACCCAAAAATTATAACATATAAAAGAACTTTGGTTATTTGTGAGACTGACAATAGGTTATATTTAAGAGAAGGAACAACAAGGACAGTATCAAGGTTCAAATTGTTTGAAATAGATCCAATGATAGTGGATTTACTACCATTGGCTATGGAAATACTTTTTTTTGAAGAAGGTTTAACATTTGTAATATGTCTAACATCAAAAGTCACATGATCAAAACACGCAGAGTCAATTATCTATGCATTATTCAGAATGGTAGATGTGCTTATTAAAGTCTTACCATTGGAATCATGACTACTTGCGATTGTAGCAAGCATTATGCCTTTGTCAATGGCAATTACAGCAGCAGCAATTAGATTTCTTTTTGAATTCTTATTCAATGTTCGACTGTGATCCCACCACTCGGGGTATCCTATGATTTCATAGCATTGTTCCTTGGTATGTCCATCCTTATTACACTAATTACACTTTTAGTTACCTTTTTCAAAATCTTTTTATTGCTTTGATTTGTTGTAATGATTTGCTAGCTGCTTCTTTGTCATCATAGCTGTGGAATCAGAAATCATATATTCTATTTTCAACGTTGTTCGCCAGACTGTCTCTCTCCGGATCAATGCATAACATTTTTCTAAATCAAGTGTCACTTCATTGCGCAAGATTTCTCCACGAACTTACTCAAAATCACCATCCAGTCCAGCAAAGAATATATGTACCCTTAATCTTTCAATGGACTTCTGATATGACTTCACATCATCAGGATCCTTCATGACTACTTTGTCACGACAGTCCAATTTCCTAAAAATCTTAATCAACTCCCCATTATATTCAGTTAAGGTTCTATTATTTTGTTTTGCAGTGAATGCCCTTTGATTCAGGGAAAACACATGTAGCTCATCACTTCCATCATAAAACACCTTTGACAAAATATTCCAAATATCGAGGGCAGTGGGTAAGCGAAGATACTTTTTCATGATTTTTGGCTTCATGGACATCAGTAGCCATCTTTTCACTTTTTGGTTTTCAACATACTATTTTTCATATCCCTCATCTTTCTCTGTTGGAGGTTTCACCTTCCCACAGATGTAGGACAATTTTTCCCTCTCTACAATGTGTATCTTCATTAGTTGTGACCATACATTATAATTGGATTCATTTATGATGATGCATACGTTGAAGACACCTTCAGATTAAACAACCACTAGAATTAGTTTTTGTCATCTCTCCAGTTAAGATCTCCAAGGATTTAGAAAGAAAAAGAAAAAAATTATAAGCTATGGTACCATATTGAAAAACATAAAATTCATTCTATAATTTTATTCATTTATTTTTGTACACAAATACTATGATCTTATCGTATTTTATTCCAACAAATCACGACTAAATAAAGGAAATTCTGATTATACAATATTTTGTACCGCTATACAAACCTATAATTTAGGTAATCAAATATTTTTATCTTAACATAATGGATAATGTGGGCTTCAGAGGAATTTGGATTTATCACAACGAGCGACTCTATTTCAACTGGAAGTAGTACCATGCCTCAAAAAGTAATCCAGATCCAATGGAACTTGTTCGTGGGAAGTATGTTAGAGTCATAAGAGATTTGGTTACACTTCTCACATTGTGCAAAAGAAAGTTTAATTTTTCTTGAATCACATATTTTCTTTCATGGTGTGTTTTTTGAATTCATTTGTTCTATTTTTACATTATTTTATTTGAGATTCACTAAAAAAATATTGGTTAGTGGAAGTAGGAAAACAAAGAAACAAGTAGTATTTGAGGATAAGAATTCAATTTTAGTTATAAATAGAAATAAGAAATTTGAGTAATTTATAAGTAAATAAGATTTATAGTTTAATGTCTTAAAATTTTGAGTTAAAGATGATGTCATATTCTCTTTATATGATTTGATGTCTTATTTGTAAGAATTTTTTTAATTTCTAAAAATACCTAACAGATGGTGTACTAATATTAGCCGTCACAGATCTTCTTATCCTCTTGAAAACGAAAGGAGTGGTTACTATCAAATTTTATAACTCTCATATAATTTATAATTTTGACCTCCCAAATTTAATAATCATTTAATATATTTATTTATATATCTACAATTTTATCTTTTCACCTTTTCATTTTCTTTTACCCCTTTTATATTTATTTATTATTTATTAATAATTTATTTTTTATTCCAAAATCAATGATATCCTTTGTTTAATATTAAGAAATCTTAACTAAATAAGTTGTTTTGTCTACACTATTATGAAAGTTATGAAAAGATTACTAACAAGGTCGTTTTTCCTTCAAGCAATTAAAAAAAGTATAATGTAAAATTTATTTTAAATTTATTTTTATTTTAATATAAATTCATATAAAGATCACTCTATTCATTGCTTTGTCTTCTGTGAGTAAAAAAATAATACAAAATTTATTCTAAATCAATTTCTATTAATTATATTTTATTTTAATGTAAATTTATATATTAATTTTTATATCTTAAACAATATATACATATAATTTTAATCTTATTTATATTAGTTCTATTTAATTTTAAAATTTTTATTTAAGATAAAGAAAAAATTGTAAGATAATAATTTATTTTTATTTTTAACATGTCCAATCAATTATATTATCATCTACAAATTTTTATTTTATTTTCATTTTTTTGATATAAATAATTACAATTTTAATTTTTTTATCCTTTCTACTCATTTTCACTCTCTCAAATGAAAAAAAAAAAAGATAATAAATAATTCTCCTTCTAATTATAGTTGACGTTTTGATTGCGTTCTTTATTTTAGGTTATGTTAAAGAAAAAGTGAAGTAATTGAAATAAATTAAGAATATGAGTATGTATTTTTCATCTTTATGATACCTATTTTCGCTCTGTTAAGAATTTGTGAGAATTCTCTATCAATCGATCTGGATTAAAAGTTGACCCTAAATCGTAGTGTAATATATAACTAAACACAACCCTTTTATCCTTAATGTTGGCAAATTTTGGGTCATGTATATATATGATACATATTTAAATGTGTTAGGGTCATTATTTATTAAGCCAAATAATAAAGTGATCTGAATAAATTAAAGTTTTGGCTAAAGACATATGTCATGAAAATATGATTGTGTAGAGACCATAGAGTAATTTCTAATTTGATGAGAGACCAAATTGAAAATACTAAAACTTAAGTAATTAACCTAATTTTGGTTATATAAAGGGTCATGGTCCCCTTCTGAGAGTACACAAACAAAATACAATTACAGTCCCGTTCTTTTCTTTCTATTCTCATCAAGAGAGAAAATCAAGAGGGAAAATACAGGTGCTCTTCAGGTGGAAGACCATAAGATCAAATCAAAAGTGCTCTACAAAGAATATCATCATTATGGCTAATTCAGGTACGCTTTCGCATTTAGTTTATAACATGTTTACAGTATGAGATTATATATATATATGTTTGATCATTAGGAAAAAGATCATATTTAATTATCAGTTTACCTAACAATTGGTATCAGACCAACCCATACTTGATTCATGTTTGTATTTGGCCAATTCAGATTCTGGCTAATTAATAACCCTAGTTGGAGAATAATCTTCAAATTTTATGAACCCTACAATCAAATTTGGGGTAAAATCCCAAATTTTAAAACCTAATTTCGTATTTGAGGGTGAAACCCCGAAACTGCTTCTGCTCCTTCGTCTTCATTGGCTAATTCAGTCGCTGCTCGCGACGGAAAGGGGAAGCGTTGGAGAGGTTTGAACAGCGGTGGCTTAGGCCTCTGGCTAATTCAGCATTTCCAAAACCCTAATCACGAATTCACGTTGAAACGACGTCGCGGTGGCGAAGAGGTCAATGTTCGGTGGCAGAGGGGACGATGGGCTGGCAGCGCAGCTTGGCATGGTGTCGCCGTCGCTGCTGAACCAGGCGACACCGTCGGTGATGTCCGGCGAGGTGTCAGTCGCTGTAAGGGAGGCGATTTAAACCTTGATGCGATGAGCATTTTTGACAATGGAACGCTTCGCTGAATAACATATTGCGGAGTAATTTTGTTGGATTATCTCGGTCAAATGAAATTTGAGCCGGATCGGTCTCTCGTTCATCCCGCCTATGGCGTCCTTAATGTGGTTGGAACTGGCCTTAGGAGGATTAGTTACTGGTCCAACTATTCGGGTTTGTCAATCGTATCTCCTGAGATATTGTATGCAAAACCACCTAATAGATCAAGTGCGAACCAGAAGCTTTACAGTGTGATATGGCCTGGAGAAACAGTATCTAAACCCCGTGGATGGGTCTTCCCAAATAATGGTAGACAGTTGAGAATTGGTGTGCCTATCCGAGTCAGATACTGTGAATTTGTCTCACCAGTGCAGGAAACTGAGACGTTTAAAGTTTTTTTTTGTGTTGATGTATTCACAGCAACTCTGAACTTGTTGCCTTATGCTGTTCCTTACCATTTTTGTCCCATTTGGAGACGGACACAAAAAAAAAAAAAAAATCCAAGCTACATAGAACTTGTCAACCTAATCAAAACTGGTTACTTTGATGGTGCCATCAGTGACATTGCTATTGTCACAAATTGGACAAGGATTGTAGATTTTACGCAACCATATGCAGCATCGGGACTTGTTGTGGTGGCCCCGTTCACAAAAATTAATCCAGGTGGTGGGAACTAGCTATGGAGGCATGATGGCTTACAATTTGGCCAAGATGTTGGGGGAAGAGAGTGGTCCCCAATTTTGGCAGTATCGCTTGTTTCTATGCTCCTTTATGTTTGGATTAGAGAATTTTTGAAGCCCAAATCAACGTATATGGGCCTATTGCTCTTAAGGCCTTCTATCTTCCATGGGCAATGCTTGCTTTGGATGTCATTTATGGCTCGCCTCTTATACCTGACCTCTAAGGTATCAGGACATATGTACTACTTCTTAACAGTGTTGCATCCATTAGAAGGTGGAAAGAACATTTTGAAGACTCCAATGTGGGTGCGTAAATTGGTTGGAAGGTGAAAAATTGGCCTTAGGATGTGCGTGGGGATAAGGATTGGTGTTGGACTACTCATGCGCTGATGACAAAGTTCAGATGCAACTCCTTCATATATATTTAATTGACAAAATTTCGAAACAATCCAACTTAAAGTGCATATATAGAAATTATAAATTTTTCCTTATTTGGAATTATAAATATTTGGTTTTTCTATATAATTAATATATTCAATTTTTTGGTAGTTTAATACTTTTTTGTGAGCAAATTGAGTCAAGAAGTTACCAAAGTAACCTCTCTTGAATTGGGTAGTTCATGAAAAATATTGAATGTTAGTGTTTGTGTATATTCATGCGAGTATTAGTCGACCCAAAGGAAGATTAATATTTGGCTGAATTGTATACACGCTTGTAATGATAAACATGTGATAATTATAAGGATTTGCTTTGTCGATGATAAATCAATCCAAAGACTGGTTTGTTGTTGGATGTGCTTTATTGTCAATGTTTGATTATTACAACAAGATACCTCTAGCAATTAATATTACTCGTCCAAAGACTTGATATTGATGGTGCATTTGGTGTCTTGAGATGGGTTAAACCATTATTTGAATATATATTTTATTTATAATTATTTAATTTTATAATATGAGCATAATTAGTTTATTTCTTTTGTTCTAATCCAGCTACAATTGCTTCTGTATCTACCAATTTAAATTTCGTTCCGGTCCTTAATGGAACAAATTTTAAGGACTCGGAAAGAGAACATTGATATTATTCTTGGCCGCATGGATATGGATCTTGCGTTAAGGATCGAGCAACCCCCGTTCCTACGGATTCAAGTACCTCCGAACGTAAAAGAGATTATGAAAAGTGGGATCGCTCAAATCGCATGAGCCTAATGATCATTAAGCGCGACATCCCGGAGGTGTTTAGGGGCACTGTTTCTGAAAACATCACCAGTGTCAAAGAGTTCCTTGCTGAAATTGAGCAGCGCTTTGCAAAAAGTGATAAGGCGGAAGCAAGCACTCTTCTTCAGAACTTGATCTCCATGAAATATCAGGGCAAAAGAAATATCAGGGAGTACATTATGAGCATGTCTAATATTGTTTTTAAACTCAAGGCACTAAAGTTCGAACTCTCAGAAGACTTGCTCATTCATTTGGTATTGATTTCTCTTCCCGCAACGTTTAATCAATTTAAGGTATCTTACAACTGTCAGAAGGATAAATGGTCTCTTAATGAACTCATTTCACATTGTGTACAAGAAGAAGAAAGGCTAAAGCAAGACAAGACAAAAAGTGCTCATTTTGCAAGCACCTTTAAGGCTAAAGGCAAAAGAAAGAGATCGGAGGATCCCAAGAAGGAAGTTGCTAAAGGTCCAGAACAAAAGAAACAAACTCAAGAAAATAAATGTTTCTTTTGTAATAAGACTGAACACGTAAAGAAGCAATGTGCTAAATATCATGTTTGGCGTGAAAAGAAAGGGTTGCCTAAACTACCGGAAGTCAACTAATTCTGAAAGATGAATATACGTTGAAAATGACAAATTGGTGGAGATGGAGACTATTGAACATTTTAGATTATTATTATGTACTGGTTTTTTATTTTAGATTTAAAAGACAATTTTTGTCGTGCCGTCTTTTAGACAGAATTTGGTTTCAGTTTCTTATTTGGACAAATTAGGTTATTTGTGTTCATTTGGAAACAATAAGTTCAGTTTGTCTTTTAATTCAGATATTGTTATAACTGGTTCATTTTTGGCTAATGATAATCTATATTTACTTGATACTATGGTCACCTATAATGCAACTCTTAATACAGAATCTCGTTGTATTAAACTAAAATTGGACTCTCGAACAGTAAGTAGTTACTTCATTGGTTATTCTGAGAGAGCCAGGGGATATAAATTTTATGATCCCACATTAAAGACATTTTTTGAGATGGGAACTGTTATGTTCTTTGAGGATATTGAGTTTGGGGGGAAGAATAAGATTAAGAATTTTGTATTGGAGGAAGAATCGACAATAAATTCAGAACCGAGTCAAACAGTTCGGAACCTTCACAAGACATTGATGACAAACCCCATATTCAAGATGATTTGATTGTTCGTCAAGACCAAAATCAAGATCCTCAAGAACCTGTGCATCATGAGTCGGGGATACTCCAGTTACTAAGGGAGACAAGTTTAGTCTAAATTAGTGCCCAAAGAGGAATTTGGAAATTGAGGAAATGCAACAGATTCCCCATGCATTAGCTATCGGGAGTTTGATGTATTCCCAAATATGTACGCGTCTAGACATAACATACATAATTGGGGTTCTAGGCAGATATTTAAGCAATTCAGGAATAGACCATTGGAAAGCAGCAAAAAGGGTCATAAGATATTTAAAGAGAACAAAAGATTATATGCTCACATACAGGAGGTCAGACCAGTTGGAGATCGCTGGATTTTCTGAGTCATATTTTGCAGGATGTCAAGAATTTGTAGCATGCTATGAGGCATCAAATCATGGAATATGGCTGGGAAATTTTGTCACAGGGCTGCAAATTGTGAAAGGCATTGAAAGACCACTTAAGTTATATTGTGACAATAAATCAGCTGTATTGTTAAGGAAAGAGTACAAAGTGGATAGATTTCCATAAAATATTTAGGGACAAACTCCATGATAGCAGATCCTCTAACTAAAGGACTTCCGCCCAAGGTCTTTCATGAGCATGTTGCTCACATGGGTGTTTTACAGTTTGAGGAATTTGTGGTTTAGTGGGAGTTAGTCACTTTCATATATTTTATGTTCTATGTTTAATTTCATATATGTATACATTGATTTTTTGGACATATTTGATTATCTATAGATATGCAGTTTTTCGTTCATTCATTACACTTTGTACATTAAGGATATTATATCGATCTCAATAAGTTAAAGTTTGGACCAGTTGAAAATAGACGTGTACAGATCACCTTCACGTAATTTTTCATGTTACACATTTCATGATGAATCCATGTCATTTGGTTATGTCAGGATGAGTAATCTTGTTGGTTTTAGTTGCGATGATGCAATGAAAAGCTGGTTTGGTTCTATATCCTGATATGATTAATGGACAGGACTTTTGGAATATGCTAAAGGAATATAATGACAATTTTGAGCTCATAAAGTCTAACACATTTGTAAGGTTGTAAAGACATATATATATTTGTGACCAGTGGGAGATTGTTGGCAAATTTTGGGTCATGTATATATATGATACATATTTAAATGTGTTAGAGTCATTATTTATTAAGCCAAATAATAAAGTGATCTGAATAAATTAAAGTTTTGGCTAAAGGCATATGTCATGAAAATATGATTGTGTAGAGACCATAGAGTAATTTCTAATTTGATGAGGGGCCAAATTGAAAATACTAAAACTTAAGTAATTAACCTAATTTTGGTTATATAAAGGGTCATGGTCCCCTTCTGAGAGCACACAGACAGAATACAATTACAGTCTCGTTCTTTTCTTTCTATCCCCATCAAGAGAGAAAATCAAGAGGGAAAATATAAGTGCTCTTTAGGTGGAAGACCATAAGATCAAATCAAAAGTACTCTACAAAGAATATCATCATGACTAATTCAGGTACGCTTTCGCATTTAGTTTATAACATGTTTACAGTATGAGATTATATATATATATATATATATATATATATATATATATATATATATATATATATTTGATCATTAGGAAGAAGATCATATTTAATTATCAGTTTACCTAACACTTCAATCGTAACATGTAAATTATTAGTGATAAGTTTTATGGTTGCGATATTTTTTTCACTAATATTTTAATTTTAAGCAAAGTAGTGATCAATATATTTTATTTTTTTTAATTAATATTTTAGTCGCTAAAATATTATTGCAAATACTTTTATCATTAATATTTTGTTTTTGATCAATTAAAAATTAATATTTTGATAACTATCTCTATAATATTAACTTAAAATGATTTAGTGTCAAATATTTTGGTATTTAAATTATTAATGACCAATACTTTTATTTTAATATTTTAATTCCATATAATTAATGACTAAAATTTTGATAGTCAACCATTTAGCAATTAAACCAATAATTTTATCATTATAATTTTTTTAAAAACAAACTAGTAATCAATAAACTAGTCACTAAATTACCATCTGCTAGTATTATTTAAAATAATTTAATAACTAATATTTTAGTGACTAAATTCTTAGTAAAAACTGATAATTTTGTTGATATTATTTTTATTTTAAATAAATTAATAATTAGTAAATTATTTATTAAATTATTAATTATCAATATTTTTATCATTAATAATTTTTTGAATAATTTAATGATCGATATTTTAATCGTTAAAATATGAATTACTAAATTTTTGTCAAATATTTTTGTTTAAATCATTTAGCAATTAAATTTTCATTACTAATTTATTAACGATTATATCATATATTTGTGATTAATATTTTTATTTTTAATTAATTAATGACCAATTTTATCACAATACTTTTATTTTAAATAATTTAATGTCTAAAGTTTATTTTGCTAAATTATTAGTCATCAAAATTATTTTAAAAACATTTTTCATAATTTATTTAATTCTATGACAATTCATATTTTTAAAATTTGTTTCGATTTATATAAAGCTTTAATTAATAAGTATTTTGTTGTTAGGTATTCTAAGTGAAAAAGAAAAGAAAGAGAGAGAAAAGTAACAATAGTAATGGTTGAAATTTTGAATATGGATTTTTATATAAGAAATGTATAATTTGGTGGAACTTTTTTCTCTCATCATATTTTATTCATATTCGTTATATATATATATATATATATATATATATATATATATATATATATATATAATTTGAGTAAACATTGATATTTAAAAATATTTTAAACAAAAACTGTATCGTGGATTGGCTAAACACAAAAATAAAATAAAATAAAGGATATACTACGAATATCAGTTTTCTATTATTTCAACTTTCAATATCATTCTACGACCTATAATCTAAGGTTAAATAATACAATTATTTTACGTGTAATGTATAACATCCACTTTTGCTGTAAATTTATTTTATTAAATAACATTGAAGTATGGGATGAACTGGTTTGCAAAGTAAAGGAAACTTTTGACCTTGTAAAAGAAGCCAAGCACAGACAAACATGAACATCCAGTCATTACACACAAGTACAAAATCACCAATAGTTACATGATTACATCAAACAGAGAGAACCCTTTTCATTCCAAGTTTTCAATCTCCTCGGTGATCAAAGTCTGAAAACTAAAGATTATCAAGGCACCAAATATACAAGCAAAGAAAATAAACAGTAACTAAAACACCTTCATGAGGCTTGTGCCCCCAAAACACGCACCTCATCAATCAGAAATTGAAAGTCATTCTTTCTTCCCTATTCCATGTGACATGTTGTAGATCCCTCTTCCCTGAAGAAACGGTGCAGAACAATGTTAAAATTCTATTGCACCAGAAATAAGGGGAGACTCATTGAATATATTACTAATATATTCAATCTGGTGAAGTCTTACAGATTATATGAAGATTTCTGAGAAGTGATAACAAACAAACTTACAATCAGATACAATGAAGATGCTGCCAATGCAAGTGGTATTGCAACAGAGGTAATCTTGTCATATGGCCCTTTCAAGTATGTGTGTTTATGCACACTCTGGAAATACTTCTGCTTCTCAATAAGTTTCTCTCGTGGTCTAAACGGTGGTTCTGACATCCTGCATGATGTGTCACTCATAATGTAGCCACTTTTAGCTTGCCTCACTTTTCATAAACGTTTTTCACATTACAGAAAAGGAAAAATACAATGATATGGCATGATAAAACAAACAAAACTGTACCCCTGGAGTTAACCAAAATCTCCATTACTCCGAGATTTAACAAACATGAAGCAAGTCAAGCGTGAAAAAAAGAAGAGTAATATCGAAGATGAAATATTCTGTATGAAAACATAAATTCAGCACCATACTATTAAACATCAAAACAAACCAACCAGACCAACAACAAATATTATTCAATTCACTAATCATCCCAAAGCAAAAGTTTCAGGCAATAAATCTAACAGATAATATCATAACAAGATATAGGATATTACATTAGAAAATCATACACTAACAAGGAAGCAGGTTTCTACATAATAACGACCAAACATATCTGAAACAAGTTGACAAACACCTACAGAGAACTTTCTTACAAGTGGAATCAACAATCAACCCTGAATCCCTGATTCTCTAGGTTCAACGCAATGCTTGTGCCACATCAAAAACAATACATCCTAATCTGCATATTTCCATGCTGACAACAGATACCCTCCCCCGAGATAAAATGTTAATCTGTCACTCTCACCACCACCTATGAATTTGGTTCATTAAAGAAAAATAGTCCTTGACTCTGGTATCTTTCCGTCAATTTTGTCCCCAATCTGGTATCTTTGCACATACTATTACACTTCGTAACTTCTCAGGCCATTAAATTACACCAAATTGATCAACTAACATAAAATTTTCCAAGTTTACAAAATATTCTGACACTGATTGGACCCATGAAATCACACGCGCTATTACGAAGAGCAAATTAAAAAGAAAGCAAGATATAACAAAAAGCAAAATGATTGGAAATAAAAAAAGAACTGAAATTGTTGGAAAAGTAAAAACAGAAACAGAAAAAATGGGAACAAAAGGATTGGGATGCTTACTTTGAAAGAAGAATGTTAGTGTTACAGAGGAAATGATTGCAGGGTTGTCAATTTATGAAGATTGAGAAGAGAAGTTTTAGTTTTATTTATAACGTTTAATTGTAATGTCACAATATCATATTCGCATATTCTCGTAATCGAATACTCTTGGTGCTTCCTAGAATCTTCTGGTATTTTTCACTTCCATTTTCTTAACATTTTTTTTAGTATATTTTGAAACACTCTTTTTAATTTTTAGATTGATTTATTTTAGTTATTTAGATTAATTATTCGATTTAAATTTATTTTCTTTGATTGTTATTGTTTGTTCGGTTATCTCTCTGTATATAAAAGGTTTTATTTTATATATTTAAAAATATTTCCTTATATATCTCAATAAGTATATTTTATTGAATATTTATTTAGTCTTTATTTGCATCATTTTAATTATTCTGATTTTTTAATTATTATAAATTTTATCAAATTATCAAATAAGCCATGTTAGAGTAATTATTGTAAAATTTATCAAATTGTAATATATTTTGATGAATGATCATAAATCCTCGCTTTATTCTTGCAAATAAATCTCGATTTAAAAAACAATGAAAAATGGTTTTCTACCTCTTTTAGACGTCTTATTTATTATTGTTTGACAATTATAACATATTTTAAAATTCAATTATATATATATATATATATATAATACGTAAAAATAATGTTTTAGTCGAATTAATTATTTTTACTCTGATGTCATATATAACATTTATTAATTGAAATCACCAGTATCATTATAAAAGAAATGTTCGAATCATTCATGTTTAATTCAAATTTATTTTATAAATAGGAAACTTCAAGATCTATTCTAATTTCATTACACAAATATATAACTCCTAATATAAACAATCAAATTAGATATATATATATATATATATATATATATATATATATATTATATATATATATATATAACTAAATTAAATATACTTGCATTTTTCATTCTTTTAAATTTATCAATAAATTTTGTAAGAAAACATAACATTGTTCATATTTTAATGTAGATTCACTTGATAATATATAAAAAATTGTTTAAAACAACTTTTATTTGATACTGATTTTATTTTAAAAAAGAGGTATTTAATGAAATTTATATTTATAAATATTATTTTTCTAATAAAACTATACTATTTATATGTAACTAGTCATGACAAATCTCCATTTTCTTTCTTTTTTATCAAAATTACTGCAATTACATTATTTGGATTGGGCCAGCTATTTAAAAGAGGACCTGAATAGGAGGTGTCTAAGGAATTTTTGGTGGTGCAGAAAGGAAAACGACCCGATCCAACGTGGGTTATCCGTTACAATTGTAAACGACGTACCGTTTTAGGGTTTAGATTGCTTCAGTATTTTTCACAACCTCGTTACATCACTGAAATTTCTGCACTTAGAGAAAGTTACTTAGTTTAGTTGTTCTTCCTCGTTCAATTACACTGCTGTGCTGCGTTTGAAGATGGAGGAACACGAGAATGGCGCCAACGCAAGCGAAGAGGAACAGTTGATAGGCCCGGGCCCGGCCCCTCGGGCTCGGCCCAAGCGACCCCTTCAGTTCGAGCATGCCTACCTCGACGCGTTACCCTCCGCCAACATGTCAGTTTTTGCGCCAAACATCCTAGTTTTTGAATTAGGGTTTCTTTAATTGAGCAAGTTCGCGATTCCGAAAGTGAAAATCTCGTGAATGTTATGAGTTTCGGCAGTTACTTATTGTTGTTTTCGATGCAGGTACGAGAAAAGTTATATGCACCGTGATGTGGTTACGCATGTCGCTGTTTCAGCTGCGGATTTTTTCATCACTGGAAGTTCCGATGGTATTCCGAACTAAAATTTGTGTTTAACTACTGTTTTTTTGGCTGTTGCAAGTATAATGCTGAAAATTTGAAGCTACTAATTTGAATAGAGTGATCCATTGTTGTTAACTTACCGCTATTTTGTTTCTCTTTGGATTTTTTGTTTATAAAATTATCCGAGCCATATTGAAGCATTAACACAGGTGCAATGTTATACATATGGCAGCTGGAATTATCCGAGCCTTATTTGGGTTAGTTTAATCTTTGGAATAGTTAATATGGCTGGAATGACATGGTGTCGTACTTCTTTTTGTCAGGGCATTTGAAGTTTTGGAAGAAAAAGCCTATTGGTATTGAGTTTGCCAAACACTTCAGATCTCATCTTGGTCCAATTGAAGGTCTATCCGTAAGTTTGCTAACGTGACTCTTTTGCTATAAATCTTCTATAATTTGTTAATTTAATGTATTATTGCGATCGTTTTCTTTCTTGATGTGTTACGTATTTATACTTTGAACTTCTTGCTATGCTTGTCATCAACCATGACTTATTTCAGCTATGCAGGTTAGTATTGATGGTCTGCTTTGCTGCACAATATCAAATGACCGCTCTGTAAAAATATATGACGTAGTCAACTTTGACATGATGGTCATGATTCGCTTGCCGTATATTCCTGGTGCTGTTGAATGGGTTTACAAACAAGGGGATGTCAAAGCTAAGCTTGCCATTAGTGATAGGGACTCATCTTTTGTGCACATATATGATGCACGATCTGGTTCAAATGATCCCATCATTTCCAAAGAGGTTCTAATTCTAAACTAACTTTAATATAAGTGACTCATCAAAAAGAATTACAATTTTTTGGTGATATTTTCCACCATCTAATTGCTTATCTGTATCCTTCCTCACTTTTGTTCAGATACATATGGGTCCTATCAAAGTTATGAAGTACAATCCTGTATGTGATTCTGTACTTTCGGCAGATGCAAAGGGGATAATTGAATACTGGAGTCCTGCAACACTTCAATTCCCAGAGGAAGAGTATGCACTTATTTTTGTCTTATTATAGTTCTGTCTCCTTTCATATTTTATAATTGACTCGTCATGGTTCAAATACTGATCGCTTCCTGTTCATAATTTTCTGTGTCTTACATTAAATATATGCACTCAAGTATGTCCAAACATCTACAAAGTACAAATTTTGGGTAGCCATACCATTGTAGGCACTTCCTCTTTTATTGTTGTACTGAATGGATTAAGATAATTATAAACCTGTAAATTCTGAAGCTGTATTAATTTTTTATTAATGAATCATTCTAAACACCAGCTGCAATAGCCATAATATGATCAGGATTATCTCATATAAATTATTAATAGTTTTAGGCATGGTTAAAAAAGGCCACTGCATATTTAATAAGATCGTTCCTATTTAACTTATATTGCTCAGAGCATGGCTGGAGCTAAGGATCAGGTCAAGTTGAAGTGAACTCACATGTTTAATTTTGGAAATTAGAATTTGATTCAGATAATCAACTACAGTATGTTTCACCGAAATCCTTCCAGACAAAATGTTTGCTATTCTATTAAGAAGTGGCATTGTTTTCTTAACTTCTGTCTAATGATTCATAGCCTCCTTGATGGCACTATTATTGACCGCTTGTCCTATGATGTAAGACTTTTTAGTCGGGCTACCAATAAGTTGCTTACAGGTGTAGCCTGTAATTAGCAATGCCATGAAGTGCATATATGAAACGCTTTGCTGTTATCACATTTTGAATTTTTTACTGTATTAATATTCTGTAATTCTGTATACTATATTCTATATACTATTTAGCATATAACAGTTCAGGAAAATTCTTAATTGCCCGAGCTTTGATGTTTAAATTTTTGCAGTTACTAATGCTCTATAATCCTTTCCTTGGGTTTTGTAGGGTCAATTTTAAACTGAAAAGTGATACTAACCTCTTTGAAATTGCAAAATGCAAGACTTCTGTTTCAGCTATTCAGGTACTTCGGTTGTATGAACATATTTCTGAATTTATGGTTGGTTTATGAAAGCTAGATGTCTGGTGTTTGACTTTGATGGTATTTATTGACTGTATTGCATCTATTTAGGTAAGTCCAGATGGTAAACAATTTTCCATTACATCACCTGATCGAAGGATTCGTGTGTTTTGGTTCAGAACTGGTAAATTAAGGCGGGTTTATGATGAATCTCTGGAGGTAAAAGTTATATCAGAATTTGATCCTTTCCCTGGTTGCATTTTTGACATATGATGGCAAATGAATTACTTCATTGGTAGGTTGCTCAAGATCTCCAAAGAAGTGATGCTCCATTATACCGGTTGGAAGCTATTGATTTTGGTCGAAGAATGGCTGTTGAGAAGGAAATAGAAAAGACAGAAAGTGCACCACTTCCAAATGCAGTCTTTGACGAAAGTTCCAATTTTCTTATATATGCAACCTTGCTTGGGATAAAAGTGAGATTTTTTTCTGTACTCATGGTTCACAATAATCATTTCAGCTTCTTCACTTATAATACCTTTCTATTTTATATCTTTTCCTTCACTGTTGACTAATACAATGAGTTGACTAGATGGAACGCCAATTCCCTTAATTCTTTACATATTCTTTATGCTTGTAGATAGTTAATCTGCACACCAATAAAGTTGCTCGAATACTTGGAAAGGTGGAGAATAATGATAGGTTCTTAAGAATAGCTTTATATCAAGGTGATCGGGGTAGCAAAAGAGTAAGAAAGATCCCTTCAGCAGCTGCAAATGCTAATGAGAGCAAGGAGCCTTTGACAGATCCCACACTCCTGTGTTGTGCCTTCAAAAAGCACAGAATATATTTATTCAGGTAAGAAAATAAACTCTAGAGACCATTTTACCTCTGCTTTGAAATCCAAAGTTGTGTAATTTTGGTGGTAGTGTTTTCCCTAAAGCCTGTCATCATTAATAGTATGTCATGCAAATAAAATCCATGTTATCTAAGTTTTGGCATTTATCATGTATCAGTCGAAGAGAACCAGAGGAGCCTGAAGATGCAACTAAAGGAAGAGATGTGTTCAATGAAAAACCTCCTGCTGATGAACTTTTGGCAGTTTCAGATATTGGAAAGTCAGTTACAACATCGCTTCCTGACAACGTGGTAAGTTAACTTTTTTTTGCCTTCAAATTATGTTGAGAATTGACACTTACACTCCAAAGGATTACCTTTTTTATGTTATTGGGGGGGGGGGGTGTCAAGATCTTCAACCCTTAATGTTAATCGATAGATCAATTCCTATTCCTGAATATTTCTACAGCCCCTCGTACTGTAACAGATTGGAGGAGGTGTATTGGATAGCTCTTAACAAAGGATCATAGATGGGTTGGTTCTGTAGTAGTTTACAACAATGGATCTTTCTTAATCTACTATTATTGTATTTGATAACAATCATATGATGATGTAACTCCCCCCGTGTTGTGGAAGAAAGCATATCAACACAAAATAGTCTCCTAAGTGCTTATCCTTTTTCAGTAGAACAGAAAGATACCCTACACTACCCCATGCAAAACTACGTCCTTATAGTCTGGTCCATATTTAGACTTCTCATCTTGGTATATACTAGAATGTAGACCTTTAACACCACTGTGACTGGTAAATGAATTCATGGATGCTTTTACTTTAATTAATGTCTCAAAAATCAGAAGTCATCTAGAAATACAGTACCTCTAAATTAGAAACAATATTTGTTTCTCACCTCCTATTCTTTTACTTGAGTAATTAGCCAGTAGAATTGTGGAAACATATTTCCTCTTGCTCTTTACATGTTAGTTGGTTTTCTTATATATTTTTCTTCTATAATCACATGGTTATCTCTCTGTTCCCCAAAAATATCTTTACAGAATCAATTTTTCTTTTGCAGATTCTACATACCACAATGGGTGATATTCACATGAAATTATATCCCGAGGAATGTCCCAAAACTGTGGAGAATTTCACAACTCACTGCCGAAATGGCTATTATGACAATCTTATTTTTCATAGGGTCATCAAAGGCTTCATGATACAAACAGGAGATCCTTTAGGAGATGGCACTGGTGGGCAATCTATTTGGGGAAGAGAATTTGAGGATGAATTTCATAAAAGGTAATGAAGTTTGTTTATAAACACATACTGTTATGATATGCAATAAAAATCATCATAATTTCAGAATCTAGGCTGATGATTATTATTTGGGGGTTATGAAGTGCGGACACAGACATGGGACACTATATATATATATATATATATATATATATATATATATATATATTTGTGTGATAAATACGATGTATGATAACAAGTCATATAAACACATGTACTAAGATTTCTTATTTAATAATTTAATAGTTAAAAGCGAAAGGGAATTTGAGAAACCAACATTGTAAAGAAAAATTCAAAAAATATCAAATTTCTAAACCACCATTGGCCCATGTCAATCACCTTGTCGAGACCATGTTGGACTTGGAAATGGTGTGTTTCAAAAACGTGTCTGTGCTTCTTAGTTTCGCGGATATGTCGATGGCGAGTGGAAACTTCTTGATATGCCTTTTTGTCAGATGGAACTTAAGAGTAAATCATTTTGTTTTTGGTCTTACAGCTTGAGGCATGATAGACCGTTCACAGTATCAATGGCAAATGCGGGCCCAAATACAAATGGTTCTCAGTTCTTTATCACCACAGTAGCTACACCATGGTTAGACAACAAGCACACTGTATTTGGTAGAGTTGCAAAGGGAATGGATGTTGTACAGGTAAATTGGCTTCTTCTATTGTTGCTCACTGAAAATCACTCGCCAAATAATTTCCATATTTGTGGAGTGGGCTGTCGCATCACCTGATCATATCGTTTTGAAATCAGTCCTTCTCAATTTCCTTCTTCCCTATATGGAACTTCTGATAAATGTTTCTTTTATGTTTTCTTCTATGATGTTAAATTCCTTTTTAGGTCTTGTTGGTTAAAGTTTAACTTTTTATCTATTATTTGATGTTGGCAGGGTATAGAAAAGGTGAAGACAGACAAGACAGACAAGCCATATCAAGATGTTAAAATTCTAAATGTCACTGTACCAAAGTCTTGAAGGTCCTTGGTTTGTTTGGCTGATGGAGTGTCATATTTATACTGGTGATACATGGCTGAAAAAGTTTTAACAGGATGACTTCCTGTAGCTTCTTAGGTTTCTTATGAACTGCGGCCATTTTTCTTGGCTGTTGTTTTTCATGCTTAAACAAGGTTTCATCTTCTTTTATCTGACTAATGGCTCAAGCTTATTCTGTGTTCTGATTTGCCAGAGTAATGTGTGCTTTGAATGTCAAAGGAATGCAGTTTGGCATTATCACTTGACGTGTAATTTTTTCTGATACAATACCTGATGTACGATACTCATGCCTTATTAATACTGTTTTTGAATGTGGTATAAATTGTTTTATCCTCCATACTGCCAGGTCAATTAACGTGAACAACCCTGCGTAGCTGCGTTGTATCTAAAGCCTATAATAACGAGTAAGTGTTTGGACAAGACGTAGTAACGTTGTATTTATAGTTTTAAATGAGTATTCTCCTTCGATGTAATTTGCTGAGTTTCGTTATATTACCAGTTATGCAGCAACTCATGTGATAAATTAATAATTTGCAACTTACTTAAAGCTCAAAAACTTGGTGGGATATTTGAATAGAACGATGCTATCAATCTTTTAATACATTTTAGAAGACCAAAACTAGGTAATGTATTTGAAGTTATCATTTTGTTGACTTTTTAACATAAATATATGCTTTAAGAAGAATTATCCATGTCAATTTATATATCTCATTATTTTATCTTTAATTTTGGATTCTCCGTTAATACAAGAGACAGGACCATTCCAAATGACTAAAGTAAACTTCTTAAAACATTTTGCAGTTGAAAAAACTAGAAAATAACAAAATCTACATTAAAAAATTAATTTATCATGCATTTTCATATTAACTTTTCAATTTGTTCACTGGTTGATGAAAGGAATAAATATTTGACCATTAATAACTAGATTAATGAACAAAGGAACTAGATAAAATCTTTTGCAATTGCTGATCATTCAAAAGAGTAACACGAATAGCTACCACGGTAGCAGCTAAATAGCTGGGATGCTAAGTTTGAAATAAGTGAGTAATTTTAAATTGGAAAATCCTATCCCATAAAACAGTAAAAGAACTTATTTTTTCCAGATTGTCATATAATGAAATTTAAACAAACACATTCGTAAATTATTTATATTTTTTTCCAAACAATGCAAGTATTTCTTACCAAGAAAAATAATCATATCCAACTAAATAACCAAGGTCAAACAAAATAAATCCAAACGTTACTAAATTATATCAGACAGTTTGATAACATTACATTGTCTCCAATGTGAAAAAGCAAATCTCATGCACCTAAAAACAATATGTAACTCGAGTAACAAAACCTTGTGATTGAGCTAAAATACTAAATGGAACTGCAAATGTAAGACGTAAAAACACGTTCAGACCTTTTAGTCGAACAAACTGAAACCCATATCCTGCCAAATCAAAGATATATACAATCATCAGTAGAAAATTAAAATGTACCAAACAATAACCATTAGTGACAAAAGTTTGAAACTTTACATCGTCGGACTCCTCCTTCTCTTCCACTTTCTTTTCTTCCTTTGCTTCAGCAGCAGGGGCAGCACCACCGGCTCCTCCAGCTGGTGCAGCAGCGACAGCAACCGCGCCACCACCACCACCAGACACTGCAGACATCTTTTCACTTCCACTAGCGAGTAGCTCATTGAAGTCTTTGCCCTTGACTTCAGTTAAGAGCAACTCAATCAAGTCCTCCTCCGCATCAGCTCCAACTATAAATCAATCAACACAATAAACAATCACTCCAAAGATTTCAATTACTCATCAGCTAAAAAAATGAATGCTCCTAAATTTAAAAAGCCACATTTACTTCCACAAACAAAATAAAACAAGAGCAGATAAGTTAATAACAATGACAGATCAAGCAGAAAAACCACGCGTAGATGAGAGATTACAAATGCAATCACCCATGATATTGATAAGAAAAATCAGAGTCAGTATTACCAAACTCATAAATTAACGAAATATTGTACAACACCTCAGATTCTCATGTTAGTTTCTGGTTATTAATTCTACAAACCAAAACACACTAAACTTCAAATTAAAACATATTTTCTTTTCAAACATTCTAGAATTGAATACAAAAAATTGTGCTATTATATTATAGTAAAAAAAGCATTGTTTGACCAACATTTTAGTATTGAATACAGAAATTTGTGCAACTATAAACCACCTCAGAAATCGAGCGTGGAAGAGTAAAAAACTACAACATCGTCCTGGATTCAACCATCGACCACGAAAGCAAGCAATCCTAAAAATAATAATAGTAATAAACAGGCCAAAAACAAGGATAAAACAACTACCGCAAACGAAAAAATATGAAAAATAGTGAAAAAGTTAGAGGGAAAGAGTAATTGGGATTAAGGAAAAGACCTGCGCTAAGGATGTGTTTGATATCAGTGGCAGAAGGGGATGGGTTCCCTCCCAACACTGCAAGCAAATAAGCAGCCACCACCTTCATATCTGAATTCAAAATCAGAGAAAAACATTACATTTGTTAGTGACACGATCAACAACACAGAAAAAGACAAAACGTACAAATAAATTGGTTGCAGGAGAAAGAAAACCCACTTGTTCTGCGAATTGCTGTGATTTCGCTTCTGAGTTTGGGGTTAGGGTTTGTGCAGAGCGAGAGGCGCAGGAGTGAGTGCAGTGACCTAATATATAACTAGGGTTTTCAACTCATCAGGTTTCATCTTTTTTATTGCCAGGAATGCCCCTCCTTACAAATAGGTAAACTTCTAACTTTTTTTGTTTCATTTTTTTTTCTCATATATGACATATAAAATATTCAAGAAGAAACTTATGTAAAAGATAAAATATGATTCTATCATGGCACAAAAATAAGATTTAGTATTCTGTCTATTTTCTAATTTTTTTTATTCTTTAGCTATGTCTATTTATTTTTATGCTACACAAATATGTTTTTAAGTCCTATGAAATTAGTGATTATATTTTCTTTTCACATAAAAAATGGTTTTCATTTCTCAATAAACTCAATTTCGATTTTCTTTTGTTGTTTATCTCACAGGTGTGCAATTGAAACGTCTCATATTTAAAAAAAAATAAAAATAAGCAAATTATTTTATCCATAAACTTCACTTTCCAAGAATATTAATTTTAGAAACAATTTATTGTTTTTAAAAATATTTTTAATCTTTATTTAATTTAAATTAAATATTTAACAATTATTTTACGAAATCAACTTTTAAAAACTGTTTTTCTTTTTTTAAATTAAAAATAATATTATTTTTTTTGTAATTGTCGAAAGTTTCCTCCATCTATGAAATGAAGCAATGGTTGGTTTCTCGATATTGGTAGATTTAAAAAAAAATTCATTCTTTTATATGATAAACTCAAAATTCTGGTTTAATTTTTGGTTCATAACAAAATAAAATAAAATAAAATCAGTTGGGTTTCATAGAATTTGAAGGCTCTATCTAATTCTAAGTGGGAAGCGACTTCTCACATACAGCATTCCATTTTCTTCTCTCTAAAATCATTATATATATATATATTAGAAAGATGTCATACGTTAATACCATGTTCACTAAAATATATTATATTTTTAATTCATGAAAATAAATAAGAGTATTAATTAACATTCAAACTAATTAACTTTAATTAATTTCAATTGATTTGAAAATTTAAAAATTAAAATTTTGAACAAATTCAACCCAGTAAAAAATAATTAGTTCACATCAATTAGATCCAATTATATGAAAATATACAAAATTCTATTGAGAAAAAGAAAAATCCATTTTTTTCAAAAAACCTGCATATAATTTTATTATAAAAAGGAGACATAACATTAGTGTACTGTAATTAACTTATATTAACTAAATAATTTATATAATCATTTCATATATTTTTATATGACTAATAATAATAAAAGTATTTTATTACTGGTTTAATTCAGATTTATTGAATTTATAAATTACAAATCTAATACCTGAAACCCGTCTTTATTGATTTGATTGGTTTGATTCGAATAAGCTAGATATTTGAATCAATTCAATTGATCTGGTTTGAATTAATAGATTGGGTTGATCCAAGCGATAAACACTCCAAGCAAACACGAGATTTGCCACATCCAATAGTTTATCAGTCACCTTCTATCAGGCAGTTTACAGACTCAAAACCTGAAACTCTTGGTTGATTTATCATTTTTAATTTTGGAAAAACCCAAGGCAAAAGAGTAAAAGAAAAGTTGTAATTTAAAAATATTGGGAGGACGAACAAAAGTTGGTGCAATCCTCATGCCGGTTCAATCATCACATCAAGAGTCAATTTTTGGTAGCTGATTCCCCCCAATGCACTCATCCCTTTTTTCTGCTATCTATTCCATGCTTTAAGGACTGCAACCTATTTCTGCAAAAATTTCACATAATCAGAAATCAACCATATGAAAATATTTAATTGTTGAAATGAAGGTTATTAACAGATGCTTAACAGCACTGAATAACTGTTAAACCTTAAATCCATCCAATCAGACTGCTGTCTTTAGTTTCATATGGTTGGTTACACGGCAAGGGCAGGTCAGAACCATTTAATAATCCAATAACCAAGCTTGATAGCAAAAATTTGTTGAAAGATATTTTGAAACTGAAATTCCTAGATCTATGGATAACACACCTGGATAGCCAAGAACATTATCCCGTTTGATTGACAAACAATATGACAAAAGGTTTTTCATTAATAGCATGGGAGACAGATAAAAATATTGCCAATCAAGTCATGCTGCACAGAATCACAATTATGGATGATAAACATTACTTGGAATCAGTAAGGCGGCCATGTAAGCTCCATCTTTGGCGGAAACCTTCAATGCCCTCGACTCCACTAGCAAGAATTAGGCGCCTATACATAAGAAACGAAGGTATATAAGATGTCCAGAGATTAAAATTGTAGACATTATATCCACACACCCAAGTATCACATGATACTGACGACAGAAATATTGTCAAAGTTTGAGTGCCAAAGTAACAGAAATAATGTCAACCAACAGAAGTATTAAGGGCACTTATGAATGAAGTTTTAAGTTATTAGTGCCTAAAGGGAATTTATTTTATACAAACCTCAATAAAATAAAGTATGCCCTTAGATATTGGTCACCAGTTTGAACATATTAAAATAAAACTTCTGGTTCTGAATTTTTATTTTTTAAAATATTCATTAGAACCCAAATAACAAATAATAATATCAAATATTCTTCTCTACCATACCTTCACTCGCGTTTTCGGGGGACAACTACAATATTATGTTTATAGGAGCAAGCACCTTCCTCAAAATAAAAGCAATGAAATGTTTAGTCATAAAAGAAAATAATGTCTACAGAAGCTAGAGATTTTGTTTGTGGTTTGAAATCTTCGGAAAAATCATTCTTCAAGGATTTATTACTAGCTTGCTTTATGCCCCTTAAGGATATGTAACCCAAAGAAACATTCTAGACAAATTACTGAACTTGGACTACTTGAATATACCTCTCCAATGATGTAACTTCTGCTTCAAGCTGAGAGGCCCTCCCCTTGGCTTCATCTAGAGGCATTGATGAACCCAATTTGAACTCACTATCTTGAAGTCGTTTCCGTATCTCCTTATCCTGCAGTTTATTTATTTTTATTCAAAAGAAAAAAACAAAGTCAAGGTGATGGTAAATCTAACAAATCGAATTGTTCTAAATCTTTATCTCCAACAATAATAATGAGTAAATGGTACACATATTAAAGATCATTCAAAGAGATTAGATATTAGTTTAGTAGTATAATGGGAGAGATGGAGTAAGGAGGAAGAGAAAATAACGACTATCCATGACTGATATGTGGTAACCATGGTCTCACCCTGCGTTCAGCACATTCTTTATATAAAGCAATTTCTTCTTGACAAAATGGTTCAATGTCATTGATTTGCAAGCCTGAAAGATATAATAAAGTTCATAAGACATTCAGATCCAACAATGCTATAGCAGACAGACATCTAATATTAAAACCTTTGAAATGAAGAACAATTATCTGTTAACATATTCCATCATCACTGAACCTTGTTGAAGTTAATCCTTTAATTTCTCCAGTCTGGTCATACCAAAAAAGTGTTGATTGTGAAGTCCACTATGGTACTCACTTTTTACATGTTAAGTCATAGAAAAATCCCATGACTGATGTTCCTACCTAGCTCTAATTCTAACTACAAAACAACAAAGCAAAACAATTGCCAAATGCATACCATTGCATCTACTTAGAACTATCAAATGAAAATAAAAATGTAGATCTCAGGGCTTATTTTTTCAAAAAGTAAACATAATACAATATTTTAACATACTTAAACTAGAAAAAAAAAAGTATATAAATAAATTATGCTTATTATCTTTTCTATGCAGTTAATTTCCTTACTTTTTATTCATATTAATTATTAAAGATTCTAGGCGTTCCTCCTTCCCTATGCAACTATGTACCTTGAATGAATTGGTCTCTAATTTTATGCAAACAAAGGAATTAACAAAAAGAACAGCTACACCAGGTTAATAAAAACGAGACTTACACAGAAACAGATTCCTGAGAATTCCATCACACAAATTAACACCTTGGAGTACATGGGAGGCTATTTCCGGTGGTACTACAGGCGATGGAGGACCCGTCATTAAATCATCACCAACCAAAATTGTTTCATCCATCGTTGGCTGTGAATCGACTGAAACCCACACACAAGTTTATCAGCAATATTCATAGTGAACCGTTCCATTTTTATTTTAAGGTAAGTGACTTGAAGCAAAACAATTTAACATGCCAATAAAGTGAATAGAGTGAGTATGGCTAAGATGACGTACCATCCATGTTTCCTTCCTGGTAATCCTTCCGCAAAGAAAACCCAACAATTCCAGTTTTTTCTGTTCTTTTTCTTTTTTTGTAGCAGCTCGGAATACAACTATTGAAAACAAAATTAAGCGGGGATTACAATATTATACCATAATTGGTATGGTTATTGGTTGGCTAGTGGTGATAGGTGAGCGAAGGGTGTACACGGGACGGTTGATGGGTGTAACACTGCAAGTGTAAGGGTTTCCCGTGGCCTAGCTTTCTTTCGGAAATGTATATAGCTTTTCGAATTTAAATCATATGCACTGTTTACGCAAATAAAAGTGTCATTTTCTAATGGCTACAAGGGAGACTTATGGAAGAATAAATGGTGAGTAAAGAAAAGAAACAAGCACGTGAAGTGATTTAAAATTAAAAGAATACCAAATAACTAAACGAGTATTCTCCACCGTTATGGACCAAGTGTTTCAAACATATTTACAAACACCTTACGAGCACATAATTTCTACAAATACCAAACGGAATGCTCCTAAGGCAAAATTCTAAAACCGTGTGAGGAAAGTGAGATATGAGTATGTACCGGAGGAGGCTGATGATGGAATGATGCAAAAGTTGCTCTGTTCTTAGTAAGATTTGTGATTTTTCTGGCTTCTCCCCACTCCGTGACTAGAATCTGCTACTTTCCCCTTCCCTTATGCTAATAATCCTTAATACTATTTTTCATTCTTCCATCACTTCTACTTTTTGAAATTCAATCTTAGGTTAATCAATTCATTTATTGTAGAGCATGAAAGTGTAAACAAAATTAAGTTTAAATACGCTTTTGCTATCCATAGTTTCATAAATTTAAGAAATTGAGTTTTCATAAAGTTTAAATATTTTTTTAATTTTCAAAATTAAATAATTTTATTCTAGTATAATAATATTATTTAACTAATTACTAAAAGAAATACTAAAAAATATTAATCGTAATAACAATGTCAAAATTTATAAGTAAACATTATTATTATTATTATTCATAAATAATGAACTAGTATGATTATGATTGATAAATACGTTTTAATATATTCTGTTAAAAAATTGCAAGACAGATTAGAAGTGAATCATAATTGTTTGATGTTAGAAAATGGGAGAATTAAATATTGAATTAAACTTTTATAATATTCACAAAACTATAATGCCAAAAAGGGTGGAAGTTCAATGCTAGGTAACATTTTTGTATTTTATAATCTTTATTGTTACGGAAGAACATTCATTTGCAGGCTTTTTTTACTAATGGGGTTAAAAAAATTTCAATTTTACTAGATGGGGTAAAAAAATCTCAAAATTTACCAAAATTGGTAAATAGTGAAAGAGGAGACTATATTGACTAACGAAATTAACTGAAATCGTGTTTTTGAAACACAATTTTAGTGGTTCCAATTTTTTTCATTTTTTTTTTTTGAAATCGTGCTTTCAAGTGTGATTTCAATTTTTTTTTTTTGAAATAATGCTTCCAAGCATAATTTCAACTTTTTTTATTTTTTAAAATGTATTTTTTTATTTTTTAAAATATTTATTTATTAAATAATTTTTTTAATTGAATTATTAATTTAATAGAAAACAAAATATTAAAATATTACATTATTAAAAAATACAAAATTATTGTCGAAATGGATAGTTTGCACGATTATGTTTTTCATTTTAACTAAAAAGAATTTTTTTTGTTTATTTTGTACATCAATTTTATTTCGAATCTAATTAATTATAGATTTTCTTGATATGTCTCAATACATTTTCATATCAGGACAAATTCAACCATTATACGGTTGTACACGTATTACACAAACACAATAAATATTTATTCAAAATCGTCTTGTGGGACAGAATTTCATTAATTTTCTCTGTAATATATATATATATATATATATATATATATATATATATAAATTTTTAATATAAATATGATGAATTAAATTTAATCATATTTATCTAAATATTTTTATTTTTTATTAAATTAGTAATTCAATTGAAAATAATTATTTATTAAATAATATATTAAAAAAATGTTTTAAAAAATATATTTAAAAAAGCGTTAAAAAAAAAGTAAAATTGTGCTTTCAAGTACAATAAAAAAAATAGTGAAATTGTGCTTTCAAACAAGATTTTAACAAAAGCACAATTTCAACAATAAAATAAATTGTGTTTAGAAGTACGATTTTAATACACACGTTTTAATCCATTTAGGGAAAATTAAAATTTTTTAACCCCTTTCAGTAAAATCAATATTTTTTTAACCATCATTGTTAAAAAAGCCTTCAGTTGCATGACAATAGGTACTGCCAAAGTGGCAAGCATCTTTTCAGCTGATTTAATATTTCAATATTCATACTTCATTTCAGAGTTTCCTCTTATCAGATACAACAAGTATCATTGAGCAGATACTTCAACCTTCATTTACTAGAAAGATCATGGCAAGAATTCAGGAGGGATGTGCAGTGAAAATTGACTTTGGCACATCTTGCCCGTGTGTTGCAGTATGACAGGAGCAGCACTGTTGAGTGGAGATCATTCACAATGACCAAGGCAATAACACCACTCCTTTTTGTGTTGCTTACACACCCACCATCAAAGATTGGTTGGTGATGCTGCTAAAAATCAAGCTGCCACCAACTCAGAGAACTCTTTGGTATGTTTTCTAATTTTAATTATTTGTGCCTTCCTTTGAATGATTTTTCTGTGTACTTTTGGCTGAATAAATGAACAACGGGGCATTTTATGACTTTTTGCGGATGTTAAGAGGTTAATTGGTAGGAAACACAGCAATCCCATTATTCCCAAAGACAACATGTTGTGGCCATTCAAGGTTGTTGTTGGTGTGAACGACAAATTTTGTTAGGTACAGAGGGCAGGAGAAACACCTTTGTGCAGAGGAATTATCATCTACGGTCGTCACAAAGATGCGGGAGATTGCAGAGGCATATCGAAAACAGCAAAGAATGCAGCAGTCAGCTTATTTCAATGATTCTCAGCATAAAGCCACAGTAGATGAAGGTTTGTGAAGGTGAGAGAAGAGTCAGTGATAACAATTTGCTGGGTTCTTTTTAGACTTTCTGGTCTTCTTCCTGCTCCTCGTGGCCATCTTTTCTATGCATGTTTCGCCAGAGAATGAAAATGGTATTATATCTGTTTCTGCCGAAGAGAAAACTACTGCCAACGAGTGAGATTACCATAACCAATGACAAGGAGAGACTGTCAGGCAAAGAAATTAAAAGAATGATTCAAGAAGCTGAGTATTACCAGACTGAAGAAAAGAAGTTCCTTAAGAAACCCAAAGAAATGAATGATTTGGATCATTATGTTTACAAGATCAGATATGGTTTAAAGAAGGAGGATATCAGCTCAAAGCTTTGCTAACAAGAAAAAGGAGGATTTCAGTTCTGCAATAAGTAGGGCCACGCATTTGCTTGATGGTAATAACCAGAAAGATGATATAGTTGTGTTTCAGGATTATCTAGAAGAGCTTGTGAGCATTATGAATGGCATCAAGGCCATGGACGAAATTGGTTAGCTGTTTTTCAATTGTGATTTTTTTTGTGCTGATTTAGTATTTTGTATGCATACTTCCTTGATGTATCTTAACATAAACCTGAGTCATCCTACCACAGTTTAGTCTATATTCTTTTAAAAAGAGAATAATTTTTTTGATAAATTGTGTAATAATAATAATGAATTTTTTAAATTTAATCGATAATGCTTTGTAAAACATTATATTATGCATGATAATACTTATTTTAATCTAAAATATATCTTATATATTTCTTAGAGGAAAAGAAAAGAGGAGGAATTATATGAGAAATTCTTCAACTGACACAAAATTGGGCTTGAACACTTTCCTCTGTCGCCGACCCCCTTTATCATCCTCTTGTCCTATACAAATTATAACACAGCATTTCACAGGGTTGATAAGCCAAATGACTCATGCACGCCTGTACTCATCTCCACAATCACCAATCACTTTTAGCAGATCCTTTCCTTTTGCCGTGGCTTCTTTTATGCTGCTCACATCGTCTTCATCAAGAGCAAGAGAAAATACAGCATTGACGTCTTGTATATGTTCTGACAAGCCAAGTCTGACACCAACCATTGATCCAGCTACCGCAGGCTGCATGTTTGACAAGAGGTAAAATATAAGGGTATATACCAGGGCTCATCCAATGTAACATGAGAATGAGATTTTATAGTAGTAAGAACATTAAATTCCTGGAGAGGGAATATATCAATTAATTCAATTCACCTGATCTAGTATATACTTCACAGCAACGGTTGCAATTGAAACACTATGTTTAGAAGCTACTTGTTTCAGAGTCCGAAGCAGTCCCTGGAACAAATTCCATCCTCCCCAAGCATCTACCATCTGTCAACAGATGCAAAGTATAGTAAAATACATGAATATAAGTTTTGATGACAAAAATCCAAATCATCAGCTTGAATTGTTAAATAGCCTACATATTGATTCAGAGTTATTTGTCATTAATAACTTCCCCTTTGCCGGATCATCTACCTAAACATAGCTTGTCTTAGTTTTAAATATAGCATATAGAAGGGACATGACCTTTCTATATAGATCACCAAAGATGGTGCTAAATGAATGTTTCTTAAACTACCTCCAAATATTGAAAAGTGGTCATGAAATCGTACCCTTTTGTACTTTTGGAGGGAGGGAGTGTTTATTGCAGGACCAGCAAAAGGAATAGTTATGTTGGTGTCAAGGAACTTCTCAGACAATAGACCACCCATTACCGTTCCATACCTGCATCACAAACTCATCTACTTAGTTAGAACTATCAATATGAACGGTACCTGGTTATATAGACTAACCTATATTTAAAAAAAATGACCATAATTTTTAGTGTAATATGATCTTATGATAGGTTAAAAACTAACATACTAAATTTAACCTAATTAAATATTAAAAAAAAACTATTACTGTGTTTGTGCTAAAATAATTAATTAGAAAAAAATATTTTTAAAAATTTAAAATATATTAATAAAATTAATTTTTATTTAAGATATAATAATTTAATATAAAAGTTATAAGAAATGAAATTTATTTTATCTTAAAATAAAAATTAAAAACCTACTCTTCTTTATTCATTAATTTTATTTTAGTAATTTATTGATTTATAGTAATAATTAATCTTAATCATTATATTTAAATTCTTTATCTATTAATTTATAATATATATATATATATATATATTAATAAAATAATATTATTTTTATTTTATAAAATAATTATTATTCCATAACACGATCTATAAATCTATTGATTAATCTAATCTAAGTTTATGTAATGAGTTAAGATAAAATGATTCAATTTAGGTTATAAATTTTTTTTTAATCTAACCTATTTTTTGAACATTCCACAATATATCAGATTAAACTTACTTTGACACTCATGTATTTAATCCAAAAAAATTTAGTTTATTTCTACTAAACTTTCATCTTATATTTGGAAGAACTATTCCATGGCTGAAATATTTCTTCCTTTTGTGAGAGAGAGAGACGTTATAAGTTTGACTCCTGTATGCTGACAAAGCTCTGCCATTCTCTTTTGAGGACGCATATCAACAAGTGAATGTTGCACCTGACATCGAAGATACCAATAAGATTCAGGAACTATAAAGAATTATTAAAAATAATAAGGACAGATAAATTAAATCATTTGGATATACCTGATTGCTTACAACAGGAATCTCATTTTCAAGAATAATTTCTAATCTCTCTGTATCAAAATTTGTCAGAGCCACAGTCTTGATTTTACCTGTACAGAACTAACTGTAGTAGTTTGATCAAAGCAAGAAATGTGAACTTATATGTGCATTCCTCCTAACCGTTAATCAGAAACAAAACTAACCTTCTTCTTTCAAGTCTGTAAGGTGTTTTAGCGCATCCAAGTAGCCTGGATTTGAATAATCCCACCTAAATCCATCAGAGAGAGGTGAATTATCACAAGAATCCTAAACTTTAGAGAGTTAAAGTTACTTACAAAAGTAGTTTAACCAGATAATGGGAATCAAGTACTCAATTCACTATTTCTGTAAAGAAGCAAAATGGATGATTTTTTTATGTCATGGTCTCATGGTGATGGATAATGCTAATGGTTATGATTTTCCCTAAAAAATTGAAGAATTGTAATATGTGGATAAGAATTGTGCTGCTGGAACCATGGTAGTTAGCAGATCAAATAAGCATAATACAGAGGGATTAACTACCAATGGAACTGAAGCATGTCCAAGGATTCTACGTCCATCCTCTTCCTCGAAATATTGATGCTGTCTCTTACATAGCTAGCAGTCATCTTAACTGGCGGAGGCACCCACTTAGTGAGACTGCATCAAATGATACAATAGATGATGATACTTTCATTTATATTTTCACTAACAATTGGAAGGAAGCATATATGGCAGGATGCATACTAGCCAAATACCCATCTAAAGTAACTGCATCTTCTTCAACTCCAAATAGAAAAATTTAACTAAGAATATGAAGTTAAATAATCAACTCACCCTCTGACCTGTTCCAACAATTCTGGAGGACGCTCACGACGAACTCGATTGATGAAAATCCCATATAGATCTTCAGCAGGACCATCTGAAAAGTCCGAAAAACACAACAACTAAAAAACAATTCTGAAAAGCCATAACCTTTGTGCAGAGTTGTAAAAAGAAGCTCATGTTGGGAAGAATCCATATCCAAAACATCCAATAGCCACATAATACTCAAATTTGAACACGATAAATCTACTATCACCCTCTACTACGGAATAACTTCAGTGTGTAGTCAAGAAATTTCCTTAGAGAGGCACATTATAAGCAAGTAGAAGCAGCTAAGTTGCATACATATATCAGCCATATCAAAAGCGGTGAGCCCAGAATCAGCATATTTAAGCATAGCATCAACAGCATCATCCCTATCAATCCTGCCCCACCCGCCACTCGTCTGCCACATCCCATTCACAACCCGGCATATATCCAATGAATCATTTCCATTCTTCACGACAATGCTTCGATTATCCTGTGTGTGCACACATTGAAATGGTCTCAGATGCTTATATTTTGGTGATCCTATTCCTCTCCTAGTTGGTATTCCATTTGGACTGAAAGTGAATTTACTCAAAGAATGCCGCAATAACTCTGACATTTCCAAATTGCCCAAGAACCTATAAGACAGCTCTTTTCAGCAATTTACGTGTTGCTCCAACAAGAAAAAATGGGACATGGTCACAGTGCGGCGTCGTCACTGCTTTATCCTATGTCCCCATCATATAGCTCTCCACCATATGTTTTTATCATTTTTATTTTACGTGATTCATTTTTTAATTTATTATTAGAGTAAATAATTAATACACTTACAATATAAGAATTTTTACAAATTTTACACTGTTACATCCGATAAAAGAATTGACATAAAGGGTCTAATGAAGAATTTTAAACCGGATGAATATATAAAAATTAATTATTATATAAAAATAAGTATATTATATAAAAGATATATTAGAATGTTTAATATTATTAATTGAATTTAAATTTTAGAAAATAAAATTTATTTTATTATCTATTTTTTAAAATAATTTACAACTTTTTCTAGACAATTCTAAAACTTGATTTTTTTATATTTTAATATAAAAAATAAAACATCATAAAACATTAAATAATTAATTAATTTATAACAAATAAAATATATATTAATATTTCATATTTTTATGTTATCTATTTATTTTATTTTTCTAATAAAAAAAATATTATGAAATATCTCCTTTATTTTTTTAAAATATTTTCCTTCAATGTGAATAGACGAACAAAAAACCTATAAATTAAACATAATTTTTATGTTATAAAAATAAAATTATAAAAAATTGAAAACTAAAAAAAAAAGTTGAAGAGAGAAAAGAAAAAATAAAAATAAGAGGATAGAAGAAAAAATATATATATATATATATATATATATATATAAGTGAAAAACAAACGTAAAGGATAAATATAAAATTTATTATAATAAAAATTAAGAAAAAAATTAATTTTATTTATATTTATAAAATAATTTTTATTTAATTTTTAAAAATAATTATATATATATATATATATATATTAAAATATAAAAAAAAATCGGACGTGACTCCGCTGACCCTTGGATCCGCCTTACAAAAATATTAACAGCTTCAAAGATGGTAAAATCTTACAAACATATTAAAAGCTTTTTATTTAATATTTTAAAGGTATTAATTTCATAAATGATGAATATATTTATGTTTGCATTAATTATTTGTTATTATAAAATTAATAAAATAATAGTTTCAATTTTAAAAATAAATACCATTTGCCAAAAAATTAAATGCTTATTAAATGGAAATCACAAATTAAAAATAATTCTAAATTAACTATTAAATAATCCGATTATTCAATAAACATAGAAAAAAAATATTTTAAAACATTAAATACAGATCTATATTATTTTTTATATTACTGTAATACATTAATTACACCTTTTTTTAATATTTTTTATAAA